TAAATAAATAAATAAATAAATAAATAAATAAATAAATAAATAAATAAATAAATAAATAAATAAACAAACAGACACCAGACAAAAAAAAAACCCTGCTACCCCTTTGGGGAATAGGCGGTAACGATAACGGATGGATGGATGACAGAAACCCAAAAACCAACCCTGGGGGGCCGTGAACTCCAGCTCCGGGCTGCTGTCGCTCAGCCGCTCGCTCAGCTCCGACCCCGTCCTCACGCTGACCGCGTAGGTGGCCCCGGCCTCCAGGTCCTGACCCGATATTTCGTACACAAACCGGCCGCCCGCCTCCGCCGGTCTGACCCGCTGGACGGTTGGACCCTGCGGAGAAGGAATGGTCAGAGCTTCAGTTGATTCCCCTGACCTTTGACCTCTCCCGGGTGTAGTGGATAGAATGGGTTTCTGCATGCCGTGGTGATGACGTGCACTAATTGGTCATGTGGTGTTGGGGGCGGTAGCATTTGAAATATCACCTGTTCACTCGCAAGGAGACAGTTTTAGTAGTGAGTGGGTGATGGGGGAAGCCTACTTTTTGCTGACCGCTTTACGCTTTACGCTTTACACCTTATGCTTTTGGATCGGATCGAATAAAGTTTGCGGTGAACGTTCACTCTGGATTAACGCTCGTTGGATTATGGATGCCTATGAACTGATTCAGTGACGTGTTTTAATGTTGGATTACCTGAAGATTAAATAAAGCAATAACACTTATAAGACTTTGGACTGGCGTTTTGAACATCTAGCGCAGTATTTTTCAACCACTGTGCCTCGGCACACTAGTGTGCCGCGAGTGATGGTCAGGTGTGCCGTAGAAAATCATCCTATTTCACCTAATTGGTCTAAAAAGATTTTTTGATAAGGAATTAATTATCTGCAAATAATTTTTGAGCGTCTGTGCTGTTCTAGTGACTGGTGGCGTAATCATGTAATAATTCCTCATGACTAGATTTGGTATATAATTTTGTATATTGAAGTGGACATGTTAAGTGCAATTTGAAAGAAGAAATATAAAATATGATAAAAATACATTTTTGTGTTTATTTGATTCCTATTCAAGACGCTTAAGATAAGATAAGAATAACTATAGTGTTACTATAGGCGGCTACAGATTTTGTTTTAACATTTTTGGTTGGTGTGCCTTGTCATTTTTTCAATGAAAAAATGTACCTTGGGTCAAAAAAGGTTGAAAAACACTGATCTAGCGCGTCTGGCTCGTTAGTTTCCCCCCTAATCAGCTTCTCGGCGACCTAAAAGTTTGTTGACCAGTCGCCAATACCGGGCCCAGCCCTATATCTCACCTGCCCGCCCTCCTTTTTGCGGTAGGCCACCTCGGCCTTTAGCCCGGCACTGTGGCAGCTCTCCTCTTGGCTCCATTGGACCTCGACGTTCCCGTTGGATTCCCTCACCGACAGATCCGTTGGAGTTTGGGGCTTCACTGACCAAAAATGGAGAAAAAGACGGGTCAGGGAGAACCGGGTCCAGTCGGTGGACCTTCGACAGAAGTCTGCGCACGGCTGCTGGAGGAACTGATCTCTCTGGACTCCACAGGTTGGTCTTGTTTCCAGACGGTCGCGCTGTACGTCTCCTCCATGACGAACTGGATCGGAACCGAGCAGCAGCACCATCCGGACTCACACGGACTCACAAAGGGGCAATCCAGCACCCTGGTGGTAAAAACCAGACCCTCAGATCTCCCAACGGACACCATAGAACGTTTCAAGACGCTCAAACTCGCAAATGAAAGACCACCTGCTGCCTTAACCCTTTAAAGCCCGATCCAAGAATAAAACAAAACAGAAAATTATTTTTTTTGGGGTTTGAATTCCTTATTTGGCCTTTTAACAAAATATGTAAAAAGAAAAAACAGAAATACTTTTTGTAATATTAATAATTTATTACTATGCGATTAGTCAAGATTATTTTTTGTGTAGTCTTCTGCCCCCTGTTATCAGGTGTATCTGATTGTGTACAAGAGGATTTTGAGCAAAGTTTTTACCATTAAATTAAGCTAAAGGTGTCAGATGGAAAACATTTCAGAAACCGTATGTATCAAATATGATACATTTGGCATTACAGGGTTAAAAACGCAATTTAACCCAACTTGTAGTTCGTCTTTGTCTAAAATTGGAAATTAAAGTTTAAAAATATGATTGTATTAGATTGTTGTAGTTGGCTCAGCTCTGTTTTTGAAGTTGTCAAAGTTGATTGAACTTTTTATTACTCTCTGTCTCAACTTAAAACTTTGAGTTCAATCACAAAATAATTAAACATTATCAATATAAGAAAACTGTTAATTACTTGTTGTTTCAATGTAAAAATGCAGATTAAAACAAATAAATATTAAACATCCCCAATGCAAAAACTTTCCTTATAGCAAATTTGAAATTTAAGTCATTTTAACTTGAAATAGTGACTTATTTTTACTCAGAACAGTGAGTTACAGTAATGCTGAAATGTGTGTTTCTTAAACTACACGACAGAACACACAGAATTCTCGCAATTTGTAAAAAAAAATGTATAAGAAAAACATGTCTGTAGGCTCAAACATTGGCTTACCATACAATAAAACCTCATTCTGAAGGAAAACTCTCAATATTGTGTGAATACCCATTCTGATACTCTAAATAAAACTCAGATAACTGGTTCATCAAAACCTCAATATGGAGAAAATGATCCATTTTGAGAGATTTACGCATGGAATTTACGGCATTTACGCACGGTTTCGTCCTCGTAATTGAATGGAAATGGGATTGGGGACCCCTTACTTGTCCCCGTGCTGTGCCTGGTGGTCAGTCACCGTCAGGTTGTAGCCGCTGCAGTCCTGCTCCTGCGGCTGGAAGCGGCAGGACATGCTCTCACAGCCGGTGCTGCAGTCCAGACGCGTCCCGGAGCCTCTACTGCTGTCCGGAGCTGCCGGGGCGCGCGCACAAGTGAGGTTACCGGTCAGCCTCGCGAGTTTATGGTCAGTTGAAGATGCGCAGATTACCTGATGGTGCCGGGATGAGAAGCAGGAGAAGCGGCGTCCAACGTTGGAGAGACCCGGGCAGATCCCGGGTTTTGCGCATCGCAACGCGGAGAGGAATTTTTTTAAAAAGGAGCACAGGGTTGGAGAAGTCTGCAGGCCAGTCGCAGTCAGGAACGCAGAAAAGCAGAAATAAGCAGACAAGTTGCTAAAGAAAACCAAAACACGCAGGCTGGAGCCTCGCGCTCCCCTCGCGAGGAACCCCGGACGTGACCGTGCTGCGTAAAAATGGGCATCCGGTCCAAAAGTGACCTGTTTTTTGCATATCACATATGAAAAAGAAAGTCGATATAGATCCCACTACTTTGTACCGTTAGCATAAAAAGCATCTTACAAATAAGGAAACTGTCCAAGCACAGATAAGGAGAATGAATAATGAATGTTCAAATATTCATATACTTCAGTAATGAAGTTCAAATATATACGGGGAATTAAAAACTGGGTTTCAGTTATGTGGGGGAAAAAAAAAACCCATAGGAGCTGATCTGTAATTCATGTACTGACATGCTGCAACTCGAAGAAATCTTTCCGAAACAACAGCAAAGGGCCTCTTTCCAGAGAAGGGTTTTCCTTCGAGTTCCAAAGAGAGACAAATGAAGCAAGGCTGGAACTGATAAAACTGATAAAACCACAACAGTTATGTTTCCTACGGGGCACCGACAGATGGCATTTGAGTAGGAAACACAAGAAAAGACGTCGTCGCTGTTTGAAAAAGTCTCATTTTAAATCTTAATTCAATGTAAAGCTTAAATGTACATCTAAAACAGAACAAATATGATGGAATATTTCAGGGTATGCAAAAAGCTTAATTTTTAGTAAGTTTGCAATGGATGTCATCATCTAATTCAACCTGGTACCATGACAGTCATAAATGAAAAAACTCTTTGAAAACCACACTATTTAGGAAATGTGCTTAAAAAGAATAATATTTACCGTTTGCCTAAAATAAAAAATTTGGTAATTGATCAAATCAGAAGTAGAAATGGTTGGAATTCATTACCAAAAGCTGCTTAAAGAAGAAAATAAAAAAAGGTTTCGAGCCGTTTTTGCTATTTAAACAAGCAAATAATGGTCACATTCCTCCAGGTTGGACCCTTAAAACTGTGTGAACTGCAGCAAACATACTAACCTGTCCACAAAAGGCGCCTTTCCACAACTTTATTAAATATGCACATGACAGCGTTCATACAGCTCAGCATTAACACGGTTTACATGGATTTATGCCCCCAAAAAGAAATAAATAAAGCCACACCGAATGTCTCATTTAAGATAATTTATTTTATACAGTAAAACAGAGGTTCGGGTCATGCTTCGTGAACACGACAGCAAAGGATGAACAGAGACACAAACTTTGAAAGCAGCCCTTTCCCAACATTTGCGCGTGTATTGAGTATCTTACAAAGATAGCTAATCAATAAACTCAGCGGTCCATTGCGAAAAAAGCGTCCAATGTGTGATGTGAACTGCTGCTAGTGATGAGTCCTCGCGGGGGCAAACACATTTTACATGTTTTGTTTTTTTTTAGGGGGGAAAGGTGCGTTCAAGAACGCCACAAATCTCTAAATCGGACTCTTATTATCGATACAGAAATGTTAGCCACACTGGTTCTAACCATGCCTAGAACTAAGAAAAAAGGCCTTTTCCACATAAGCCCACATAGTGTGTGTATATACCTTTACTCCACCCGCTGTTAGAAGGCATGTGTGTGTGTGTGTGTGTGTGTGTGTGTGTGTGTGTGTCTGCTTGTTGCGCGCATCCTGAGGTGAGTGTTGTGGGGTCTTTGAACGCAGCTCTCTTGGGTTTTAGGCCCGGTCGGGGTGTGTGAGGGGCCTGCCTTTACTTGGGGGGCCGGTAGGCGATCTTGCGGCTCTTCAGGACGGACCAGCGGTGCCTCTTCATGTAGTAGAGCAGCGGGACCAGGATGCCGGCGCCCATCAGCAGCTGAAACACGGACACAGCAGAGAGGGGTGGTCAGACGGTTTCAATTCAGTGCTGCGAGATTAGTCGAAACGCGATCGTCATGTCATGCTGCGCAGTTATGCAAATCGCATGAAAAAAACCCTTTATCTAACAGTATGAAACATACAGACAGTGAACGTAGCCTACATGAAAATAGAGGCCTATCAGGCAGCTGACTACCAACTTTAATACGGGAGTGGTAAGTTCAGGTTTTGTCATTTTTTTGTGTCATGTTTGTATGTTTTCAGTTGAAAAAGATACGATATGATTGTAATTCTCTGTTAGGGTTGTCACGATACTAAGATTTTCAGCTCAAAACCACGAGGATGAAAACAAAGACCCCGAAATGTAACTGAATTTGGACAGGTTAGTGTCTTTGGTTTCAAACTGACCTGTTACTGATGTTTTGGTGGCCCGCATTAATGTTGGTGTATTATTGTTAGCCATTAGCCGCAGCTAGCAATTCAAGGCTAACGTCATGTTAATGATCATTAACAACATAAATAAATAAATCGGGGTGGGGGGGTATCAGCACTTTTGAAAATGAGTATCGTATCTGGATAAAAAGTTTTAGTACTGATACTTTTTTGAGTATCGATACTTTGACAACTTTACTCTGTGTTGTCCTTTATATTCAAGCAGGCAGACTCATGACACCATTCATTAATAATATCCTAATATCGTCCACAATAATGGGATTTGTTCAAGTATTGTCCTTTTTTTTGTGTCATGTTTGTATGTTCTCAGTTGAAAAAGATAGGAAATTATCAATAATATCCTAACTGGGCTTGTCCCGATCTGATATTTGGATCGGATGCCGATCTTTTAAAAAAACTACGTATCGGCCGGCAGGAGAAAAAGCCGATCCAGACTCCCAATCTAGTTTTTTTTAAAGTCCAATCCCACACGAGCGTTAGCATTAGCATCTGCTAACCAACAGGTCTGTGTCCTAACCATTAAGTCGTTATCAGAGTAAATCCCTGTTCATTATGAGTCTGACAACTAAGTAAGTAGCTAAATAACTTTAAACTTTAATACATGCTCTGATAGGCCGGGATCGGATCGGAAGTGCAAAAAGCTGGATCGGGACATCCCTAATCATAACCTAGTCCACAATAATCCTATCTGAGTGGCACCTTCAGTCCCATGCGTTTTCGCTGGTCGTGCTCCGGCTCGGCGGCCCATCGCAGGAAGGTGCACACGTCTTTGGCCACCTGGCTCATGGTGGCGGGGGTTCCTATGGCAACGGACAGAGAGAGAGAGAGGCGTCAGCGCCGTTGCCGGGCGCCCGTTGGGCCGTCGCTGGGCGGCCGGACTCAGACTCACCGTCCTCGAACTCCAGGATCTCGTTGTAGATGGGCGGGGCCATGCCGATGGCCTGGCCGGGGAAGTAGGGGTTGTAGTAGAGCCCCTCCCTCACGGCCACGCCCGCCGGGGGCTCGCAGTAGCCCGTCAGCAGGCTGAACACGTAGTCCTCGCCGCCGTGTCTAAGGGGGGGGGGGCAAGGGTCAGGCGCTAGGGTTGTCACCATACTAAAGTTTTCAACCCGATACCGATCCTCAGGAAAATACTCGATACCATTTTCGATACCACAAGGATTAAAAACAAAGACCCCAAAATGTAACTGAGTTTTGACAGGTTAGTGTCTTTGGTTTCAAACTGACCTGTTACTGATGTTATCTTGGCCCGCATTAATGACCCTAACCCTGACCCTCCACCCTTCATAACTGTGAGAAATGTATTTTCTATTTTTGGTTAAACTTGTTTGGACTTATTTTAAAAACCTATTTAACATTACACTATTTTAACATACTATTATGAATAGAGTTTAATTAAGTGTTTGAAAAATTAATTTCACTATTTCTAAATTAATGTCTATATTGCCATGAGGCCTGGGATCTTCCTATTGGTTATGTAATCAAAATGGCCGACTTGGATGTGGGCGGAGTTAGATATGTACGCGATTAATGCTGGCGTGTTGTTAGTAGCCATTAGCCGCAGCTAGCAATTCAAGGCTAACGTCACGTTAATGATCACAAACGACGTAAATAAATACATAAATAAATCAGTAAATGAATAAATCAATATGGCGGCTGTGGGGGCGGGGCTTACCTGGCGTTGACGATGTAGGAGAGGTCTGGCGGCAGGGCGCCGTTGTTGGCCACGCGGGCCGCCTCCGGGTTGGGGTAGGGCTTGGGGAAGTAGTCGGACAGCTTCCCCGTCCGGGTGAACATCTCGCCGCTCTCGTCGGGGCCGTCCACCACCTCCACCTGGACACAAGGGGGGGTGTTGTTGTCTTTCTTTCTCCTTTTTTTATTATTTTTTCTCTCTCCCTTTCTTTTTTTTAATTTTTTTTACTGTGTATCATTTATTTGCTCATCAGGAGATCATACATATATTGATGTTACATACATTGTACAAAGCTTACATGACTTCTCAGATTTTTTGTTTTCTTTTTTACACTGTTTTTTTTTTCCCCTTCCCTCTTTCTTCTCCCCTTTCCCCCTTCTTTCCCTCTTCCCTTCCCTTTCCCCGTAGCAAACATAAATCCCTGTATTAACATAACAAAAACAGGACCAAATAAGTATAATTACATTTTTAAAAAAGAGAAAAAAAAGAAGAATACATTAACAACCAAAAAAGAAATGAATTCCCTCTCTCTCTTTCTAAAGGATCTCTCTCCCTTCCACTACTCTTCCCTCCCCTCTGTCCCTCTGTCAGGTTCGGCATTATTGGACATATGGAAGTTTGGTAACAAAAATGAATAAATAAAGAAGTTTTGGGTAATCGAGGGGGGCTTCTCACTAACAAAGCCTCCCTTGGCAAAGCAATTTTGCTCAGCATAGCACGGTACGCAGATTTCAGTTCTGCTGCCATAATGCTGAACAGGACAAGGTAAAAAAAAAACTCACCTCCTCAGCGATGGCCTTCACCTCCTCCTCTGTGTGCGACACCCCCACCAGGTTCCTGAAGGCCAGGTACTCCATGCTGTGGCAGGCGGAGCACACCTGCTTGTACACCTGGTAGCCACGGCGGATGCTGGGGGGGGGGGGGCAAAACAGGGAGACTTCAAATGCTATTACTGTGGTTTAAGTGGGCCGGTTTCAAATTCTGATAAATATTTTCCATCATTTTAATCTATTTTCTATTCAATTCTTAAACTAGATCTATTATCTATTCATTTTCTGCTCCTTAATTAATCACGATTGAGTCTTTTCCTAGTTTGTCAACCTCAGCTCAGTTAAACTGACCACAATTTGGATGGATTTTGTATTAATGAGATGGAGATAACTTTAAAATATCAGCTTTCCCTCCAAACATAAGGGATCAAGATAGCATGGCTCAAATAAATTATTAAGAATAACCCACACCAGTTTCAGCAAACAAATAAAACAACTAAACTAAAGTTAAATAAACAAAATTGTTGTGCAGACATTGATTTTGAACGTTGAAATGTCTCTTTTAGGGACTTTCCAGCAGCTTAGTGCTGTGAAGGTGGACATCTGTACAGTGGCTGTGACCAAAACTCCACAGAGTCAAGTTTTTTTCCTCATATGGAGTAGGTAGAGGTCCACGGGACCCACCTGGCGTGGTCCAGGGAGGACAGCGGCCCGGCGTGGCTCCAGGGGTAGTGGGGCGGGTGCAGCTCCAGGTCGGAGGCCTTGACGGACTGGTGCAGCATCAGGGCGAGCCCGGCGCCGCCCGCCGTGACCACGCCCAGAGTGGACAGGGCGATCTTCTTCCTCCCCGACAGGCTGGCGAAGGACATGTTGGCCTGGGAGGGAACACGGGCTTATTTAGGATCACACCTGGGTTCTGCGCAAAGGTGCTAATCTGGCAGATCCACTTACAAAAACACCTCCCTCTTCACAAGAACAGAAACAAACCTTTAAATAGGAATTTTTTAAAAGTTCCAGGACCTACTTTGTATGTTAAAATGTTCATATGTTGGTTCAAATATTCCCATAAGAATACACTGTAATTCGTTCCACAGCCCAAAAACCTACGGTAACTCCTTAATAAATACTGCAGATAATTACACATGGCAATAAAATAAAAGCATTATATAACAGAGGTGTAAAAAGAAATAAATTATAAAGAAATAATGAATAAAAAGGGTTTTTATTGGCAGGTAGAGGTGGAGACAGACACAGGACGAAGACTAACTACCTTACACTAACTTTAAACTAGCTTATATATATATATATATATATATATATACATACACACATATACACATACACATATACACATATATATTTTTCTATTTTACTATGACTTCAACGTTTACTTCGGGTGTCATGTCGAATATTTGATCGAAATTCACTTTGAATGTTGGAAAATTCTTATGTTTAGGCGAATGCAAATTGAGGTTCTGCTGTAGTCACTATGAACTAGATTTATCCCATTTTACCGAGTTAAAATTAAACATCTTAGAACACGAGATGCAACTGATTGCATTTGGGAAAGCTAAAAAAAACTGAAAGCTAAATTCAATAAGCATGTTCTGCTTTTGAAACTCAGTAAGATTTATTTGGGCTTTAAGCATATTTAATTAGATTTTATTTTACTACAGAGAGCATGACAGCATCTTGAGGCAAGATGCAACGTCACGATAAGCTAAAGGTAATTTAACCTCAAGCCAAAAATAAAGATCATCCCCAAACTGTCCCGTATGGACGCAGGCTGTAAGCTTTGGGTCATCTTAATGTCCTTGCCAGCAAATGTGTGATCTAAAGGTACTTATGAAACTGCCCTCCGCTGGTGTTTTGGTAACCATGCAGTAAGGGGGGGGGGGGGGTAGGAGGACATCACATGATGGCTCCCTGCACCTCACAAATAACTACCACCTCCACTCTGCATCTAAAAGCTGTCACAGTGCTCCATACATAGGAATTCTGATCAGTTTGGGGGAAAATAATCTGTTTATGAAGCAGATAAGGATAGAAAATTAAACATTGTTGTTAAATAGCTCAATTCAGCCCATTCATCTCATTGATCAGTAACAGTATCCTATTCTTGCCACTTCCAGCCTCCATGTTTGATCACAATAAGGCGACTAAAGACACAAAAAGGGAAAAAGTTTTCATTTTTTTAAGCTCTGCTGTCCTGATATCCAGGCTAACATCCCCGTTTTATGTTATTTCCAATCACGTGAAACCTATATGAACAAATAGCATTTAATCGGTTTGAAGATTACGGATTAAAGTTTAAACACACATGGAAACACGCCGAAAACCGGCTTTTCTTCACCGGAAGTCCTTGAAATGCTAACTCGTTAGCTACTTTAGCGAGCTAACCACTTAGCCAGCTGTTATTTCCACTGTAGTGCAACACGAAACGGCACACTTGTTTGAGTTTGAATAGCGACAAAAATATAACGGTACTGTTTTACAGGCGAATTAAGTACATTTCGCCTGCAGTTTAAGGATAACCAACGTTTAAACAGAGTTGTACATGTGCCGGGTGACGCGTCATCAAGAGCTAACCTGCCAAGTATCCAAGCCGGTTAACGGTTTAACGTTTTTTTTATAATAACACTCGTGTTTAAATTTACAGACGCATTAGCGACTCCCTCAACGTAAAAATGACTTAATATCGGAGGAATAACAGACTAAATAATTGACGATCTTTTGTGGAAACATAAGTGACCTTGTCTCATCCCGCTGATACTAACTTAGCTAACGTTAGCATGCTAACAGGACACCTCAGCCAAGCGTCTTTCAGCTAAACCGTTTCTAAAAACACAAAGTCTTCCGAGTCATCGCGTCTCTAATGGTCCACTGGTGTACCTTTGGGGTTTTAACGGTCTTAGGCGTGCAGAGGAGAGCTCTCCCACTCCCCGAGAGCACCACGACTCGAAGCGCCGCCATCTTCGCTGTTCTTCTGTTCTGTCTGAGGAAAAGCTGTTGGCCAAACAAGAGCTAACCGCACTCTGGGTGTTTCCGGGCTGTATCTCCAAAGTAAAAACGCCCGCGCGTGACGTACGTTGTCTTACACAAGGAAGCACCCCGGTTACATTCGTCACAATAAAACCTCTGCCTCTGTTCTTTTAACTCCAATGGGCCAGGCTGGTGGAGGTGGTGAAGTAGTATGAGTCTGCCTTATATTGTAATAGCAGAGTTAGTGGACCAGGAACCCCTCAATGGGGTTCCTGGTCCCCTCAATGGGGTTCCTGGTTCGAATTCCGTTCGGGGGCCTTTCTCCTTACGCATACATGGCTTTGTTCTGAGTATTCCGGCTTCCTCCCACCATCAAAGTGACAATAATTGGAGACTTTAAAGCCAGGGTGTCCAAATCTGTTGTTTGAGGGCAACTGTCCTGCAGGATTTGAAAAGTTTCCCCGCTTCAACACACTTGATTCATATCAACTCACTGTTGGCGGGCTTGTGCAGAGCTTAAGAATATTTTGAATAGATCAGTTTAATAAAAATCAGGTGTGTTTAAACAGGGAAACAAATAAAAGGAAGGATGGAAGTGTTAAAGAGCCCATAACTTTCCAAAAGCAACTATTTATCCAACTGCATTTACTCAGTCAATGCCTACCTTAAACTACCTTCAATGTCAATATTTGTCATCCTTATACTAGCTGAGAAGATATGGCACTATCTAGCTTTATTTTTTTCCTTTATTAGATTTAAAACACTTATTATTTTAAGCTTATGATATCCAAATTGTTCAAAACTATTTTCAATAAAAGATTTTGAGGCTGGGTCATGATTAAAAATATTCAAATCTTAACATGCAGATGGCCCTGTGACTAATTCATCACTAATCATGATAAAAAAATAACTTGGTGCAATATCCAATGTTATTTATATACTCTATAAGAACAAGCATGTACTTTCTTCTACTGTGTCAACGACAAGCAATTATTTTGACATACCGGAAGTTGTCAACAGCACTTTTTTTGTCGGTAACTTGACGGAAATCTTACACAACGAATTTACACAACCACTTTTTTTTCCGCCAATGTATAGTTTTGTAACACATCATTAAATATGAAAATAGTAATAGTTCCACTGAAAATGTCCATAGTAGTTTTTAGATACCATTTTGATGCAACTTATACAAAAATATTCAAAGAAACGCCTCTGTTTATCACCAACCTTATATCTCTTTGAGATTAACATTTGACCTAGAAAAACAGAGTCAGTGTCTGACCGAAGATCAACAACAGATAAGCCTGACATCTCCTCATATATGTAAGAATTTGTTTAATTACAGCAATAGTCGATGACCCTAAATGTCTTAATTTCTTTCTTTTTGTTAAGCAGAAAAGACTGCATAAGTTAACAGAGTGGAATCATTAAAAAAAAAGCAAATATGATAATGATATTATGTCTTTTGTGTTTGAAGACCCATCATTAGTCACACTGTATGCTTCTCCATGGTTGTTACTAAATCTGATGATAACTGAGGTCAAAGGGATTTCCATAAAATAAAAAAAATCTCCCTGTTATAAACAAAGAGAGGGAAAGACTCTATCTTCATGTTTAACTGGCAGCGTTTCAGGGCTGTGTTGTAATAATCAATTCATTGTCCCCAATAATAGGTTGAATTTCATTCCAAAAAGATGCTCTACATTTGATATGATTGGGAGTGAATCCTAATGACATCATGGTCTCAATGACATCTGGTGGATGCTAGTGAGGAAGGACACAGGAGGCCACAAACTAAATTAAAAGATCATTTTGAAGCAGAAGAATAATGAAAATAGGACAAATTATATTTATTATATATATATCATGTATATATTATTCATATGACCTTGTTACCACATCGTACTCTTACATGAACAAAAAAATTCACAAAAAATCGACTAAACTCGAATGTGTTCTATTTATTTTGTCCACAAGATGGGAGCAAAGTGGAGGGAAAAAATCCCACAAGCTTCAGATTGAATCTTCACAGCCAAACCAGCACGAATGCAGGATCTCATCGTCCATTTTAACAGACGGTTCAGACAAAAAACACTTTTGGTATTTCCTATTAATCTATGTCTGTAATATCTGCACAAAAACAGTTGTTAAAAATATATTTGAGAAGGTTTAAAAGTCTTTGGCGTGCTGTTTGTGTAGTTTTAGGGCAAAAGGAAATGTCCAGAGTCAGTACTTCGAGTTCAGAATTTCCCTTTTAGCTCCAATTATTCCTAATAAAACGTGTTTTTTATTTCGCATTGATATAAACAACTTAGGTATCAATACATTTACTGCAACCTGTTCAATTTGAAGCACTTAAAAACCAAATCAGAGCGCAGGACTTTCCAGGCAGAGGTGAGTTAACATCCGTCTGGATAAAGCATCAATAATAGAAGAATATTCTGAAATATTCAGGGACATTAATACAAAAAGCTTGTCTGAGGCCGGTGTTGACACGCTGTAATGGACGTTTTCTGTAAATGGCAGGTAGGTGATGAACTATTCATCGGCCCCAGAGGCCCCTGTATTCTCAGGAGGGCCTTTTCATAGAAGGTTACAGCTTCAGATTTCTTCAATTTCTTTTAGAATTGTCATTTTGCTAACTTCAACGAGCTTAAGATATTCACCTCACGTATAAAAGTTACAAAGTTTTGATATTCACTCGGACTTATACATGCAATTTGAACAGGTCAATTTGAACTTTTTAGGACGAATGTTTCCAAGGAATTTGTGTGTTTTTAAAAAAAAAAAAAGGTAGTTTGTGCTGTAATCATAGCAGAAAAGTGTTTCGCTCGCTTGTTTTAGCTCAGGTGGAAGGATGTCGGATCAGGTTTACGAGCGAGAAACAGAGAGCCTGAAACATTCATTTATCTTTTTTGTTCCGTATAAATTCAGCCGGACGAGTCTTACATTTTTCATGTGCGCCCTTCCTACCTGACTGAACTACAAAAGGAGAAAAAACAACGTATCTTTATAGCCAGGTGGAAATAGGAGAACAGAGAAGCGGAGGTCAAACTATTGAACCTTTTTTTTGTTAAAAAAGAGCTGTGGCTGTCTCACTTATGAAGCTTTTCATGAAATATCTCAAAGCAAATATCTTAAAAGAGTAAAAATTAGGAAAAGGGGATGTTAATTATTGCATAAAGTCCATAGGTGTTTTAAATTTAAGAGAACGTTGCACCTTTAAATGGGCCATCAGCCTCTGGTGGCTATTAAGTTTCAAGTTAGAACAATTTTGTTTGAACAATTCTCAGCAAACACAATTTCAGAGCAAAGAAGATAACAAAAAGTTCAATGCGCATCAGTTAAAAAGATCCTTCTATAATCCAATCATGATCCAGGTCAAGTCAGTTTGTGCCTTTAATGATTAACAGGATTTATTTGGCTGCAATCAGGGAAGACTGGTGTTGTTTGGCTCTTTGGGTTCAGTTACAGAGAACTTTAACTGGGTAAAAAGTGTCTCAAAGAAGATTTTAATGTGGGCAGAGCCAGTTGGAAATGTGACAGAGCTTTGGCAGATCCAGACCACTTTGGCTAACACCTCCGTTTAAGGCTAAATTCACTGGATCGGGATGGTGGAGGAGAATAGACGCAGCCTTAAAGGGAAACAGGGATAAATTGTCCTTCTTTGCATCACCTACTGTGGGATTATAAGCTGGTGCTAGCTTTGGGGGTTCCCTTTCTAATATAAGACTTTTTACTTATGTTATCAGTTAAACTGCAGGTATAGCACACGTTATTTAAGTAGAACGAGCTCATTTCTACCCAAGAAAGCCTTCCTCCAGATCTGCCTGTCAGACAGAATCTTTTACATGACGCTTGCAGTAAATCTCGACCTGAGTTTTGATTTCAATCCAACCCAAGCTGGAGAGGATATCTTTATAAAGTAAACCCAATTTGCATAAGACTCACGGAATCAGATGAGTGAGACCTTTCTGACCAATGAGATAACCCGTGCAACTTATTTATGTAGAAGAACCCAAATCAGCAGTGGGGATTCTAGGTTTTCTCAGTCTCAGGTTTAAATTCAGGACAGAGAGTGGGGCGAAAGTGCAATTTTCAGTTAAAAAAAAAGGTCAGCGCATTAGAACAGTGTTCACGCGTTGTGGTTTTAACTCTTCTTGACCAAAGACCGGACTGTTAGAATTTGGCTATAATTACTCATTTTAGCATTGTAAACTATCACATAATCTATGTAAATTACTGGTTGTCCTATTCCTTTTAGAACTATACTTTTGTGTTTAATTTTCTGGCTGTAACCAAAAATGTTCTTTTCCTCTCTTTCTCTCTCCGTTAGTTTAGACATACGTCATTAGGTCAACACACAATAAATGTCATTTTTATAAGTTTGATCTACTCTGGTTTGTTCTCAGGTTTCCAACTAAAGAATCGGGTTAACAGGACTGTTGGAAGTACTTTAAGTGTCTTCCTTCATGCACATGAATGATTGTGTAACACTGAACTTATCCGTAACAATGAGGTTAAAACAACCTGGAAAAGAAGGCCCGTCTTATCCCCGATCGACCGGTGAAGTTATCATCTCGGATCTCCGCGTCGGAAGCTTTGAAATGGAAAAAGATGTCGGCTGTCATGACGATCGGGGGGGGGGGGCCGCGCGTCTCTCTGACATTTGATGCTTTAATTACACTGATGTGTGCGGATCGGCGGGCCTGAAAGGAAGCAGCTGCGGGATTTAAACGCCTCAGAGGCTTTCGCTCTCGGGTTGCTGTGACTGCGTTACAGATGTGGAGTGTTGAGAAAAAAAATCTGTTCTCATTCAAACATCCACTGACTCATTAAATCAAGAGCTAAAAAAAAAAGCAACAACAATGAAACATTTCCGAGCAACTTTTTATGGTTTATTTCTTTACCTCACCGATGACAGACAGATGTTTTCATCTGGATAGCAAGCATCAAAGGAGCATCCGAACCAGATAAGGAGCACTAAATGAATAGAAATCCCTTTGAAAAGTGATTTCCCCTTGAATCCCTGTTGGTTTCTTTTGTTTGGGCCAAAATGACCCAGCTTT